ACATTATATTAGTAAACAAAAAAAAATAAAATAATAATTAATGTTAATAAATTAAATGTAAAAATATAAAATAGATAATTAGTATAGTTAGTATATATGAAATTAGTAAAGATATAAAAAAAATGTTAATAATATATAGATAAAATTAGTAACTTGCAATGAGAAAGCTGACAATAAATGATACTTGTGCAATTGCTAGAAAACGTGATAGGCTTTGTCTTTCTACTGAATATGTTAATGCTAACATTCCAATGCGATGATGATGTGCAGATGGTCATAAGTGGACTACATCTCTTAACAATATCAAGAACGGTAAGACATGGTATCCGTATTGTGCAAATAAGGCCAGTCATACAATTGAAGATGCTAAGCAAGTTGCTTTTAATAAGAATGGAGATTGCCTTTCCAAAACATATGATAATAGTTTTTCACCTTTATCATGGTGTTGTTTTGAAGGGCATGAGTGGAATGCATCTTTTAATAATGTGAAAAATAATAAGACGTGGTGTTCATATTGCGCAAATAATAGGCCTTGTTCACTTGAAGATGCCAAACAATTGGCTTATAATAGAAAGGGAGCTTGTCTTTCTGAATATTATATTAATAATCGTTCAGCTTTATTATGAATGTGTGATAAAAAACATAGATGGTTTGCTACTTTTGATAATGTTAAACATTTAAACTCGTGGTGCCCATTTTGCCCGAAATATAAAAGAGAAAAGCTATGTCATGAGATTTTAACAAAATATCTTAGTCTTCCTTCACTAATTCGCAAACCTAACTTTCTCAAAACACCAGGATGTTTCACAGGATTAGAATTGATATTTATTATCCAGAATATGGCTTTGCAATCGAAGTACAAGGCGTACAACACAAAAAATATATCAAATTCTTCCATAATGGTGATCCTAATAATTTTATAAAACAGCAAACACAGGATCAATTCAAGAAAGAATTATGTGAAGAGAATCAGATTGCACCAAGGTATGTTTGGTATTACGAAGACCCATATATAGTTATTCCTGAGTATCTTCGTGAATTGGGTCTCATTGAATAAACATAAAACTTTAAATGCTTCATGATCGATCATTACATACACATTTTTTTATTTTTCGATATATACACACCAAACCCCATAGAAATTATGAGCTGAAATTTTATTTAATTTTAATATGAATACATATACTGCATCATCAGTTTTTTGCTGATTAAATTTTGCTAATAGAAATTCTCATTTTAAAAGAAAAATATTCATTCTGATCCTAGTATTTGTGGAATTTGGTTGAAAATATCATTTTTAAGAAATACATAAGTTTGCCTGTAGGGTTTGTAATGCGGAATATTATTTAGAACATCGTAGCCAATCAAACTACAGTTGACATTAGGAGGATCAATTTGTCAAGAATATAATTCACTCGTTCTTACCCAGTTGGACCAATTGGTCCTGTCGCCTAAACATACCAACCAATCTCTTGAAACTTGAGTAATTTTCGCTCCATTGCCATATCCAGCAGGATAAATAGAATCTCTCTTCCAACCATCTTTAGGATTATACAATTGTTGTCTTACGAAGTATGGAATCACCGTCATCGAGCACCAGTATCGAATACCATTCAGAAACCTTGTTCCATATTTGCCATACTCACCTCATCTCTTGCGTTTAATACATTTCGAATGCAAATATGAGACTATATTTGGCAAAGCAATCCTCATAGATGTCATTATTAGGTTATTGATAGATATTATTATAAAGTTTCAGATTATACCTGACAATAACCTTATTATCATAGATCGTAAATAATACAAACCTGCCACTCTTTCCTTCTTTAATCATCCCTAGCTAAGGATCTGCGCAATTCAACAAACCGTTTAACAACGGGTACATACAAACACCCTGGAAATTTTTTCCCGAGTTCTTCATCTTCTTCCGAAGATATCTCTTTTCTATACTCAACTAATTTCCCGTTAATGAGTAAAATGTGCGATCCTTGCCATTCATCAAGATCACCAGATCCGAGTAGACGACGGTATTCAATTGTATTTCTTGCCAGTTCTTTTCCGATTGGTTCCCACTCAGGACGAATAATATAGTTAAAGATCTCACGACACTCACTGACTTTCATTGTATCAGGCTAAGCGAAATCTGAGCTAGAGAAGACTAAACAAAGGATATATTAATAAAAATGCAATCAAGCTGGATCAGACTTATTATGTACCGTAAAATTTTTTCCAATTCTCTTTATTTTCTGTAAATTTGTTGATTCCTAGTCTTTTTGCAAACATTCTAAAGTCACCTTCAGCAACATCATTATTTGTTACCGGATTTGAAGTAAATTCCATATCAACAAACGCTTTGGATTTAGTTTCTGAAGCTGTGTTTTGTTTCTCATCCTTGGGATCAGATAGGTTTTTCAGACTCAGGCTCTTGGTAAACTCTTTTTCGAGAGCAGACTCTTCAGATGTATACAAGAAATTAGAATATAATAAAGAGTACAAATAGTCATATACGAAATACGAACCAGAAACAGAATTAGTTTCAGATTGGCTGATCGATATTTCGACACCTTTAACACCTATAAATGGGTTTGGAATGTTAACATTCCAAAATGCAGTATGTTTCTAAACAATAAACCCTACCTAAAGTTTTCTCTTTCTGCTTTTGGTACTTTTGGTAATTTTTACGTATATTTAGCTAGTCTTTAGAGTTAACAGATAAGGAGATAAGGCGTAAATACAGTACCTATATACAGTATGTACGTTCTGACGTTATAATTATGTAATAATTATCATCACGTGTCCAAAAATTGTTGGAGGATGATCCTCTTGCAATTCGGCTAAGTTTGACACTATTGAACCTCATAGGAGGACTTTCACGTGATTGGTCGATCCTAATCAATTGCCAGATACATTATTTATACAGTTTAAAGTA